TGTACCCCCCACCCCCACACATATATATCAGATAAGGAACTACAAGTCCAAGCATGCCATCATTGTCCCTGTACACCCTCCACACACACACATATCACCCAGGGAACGGCAATATCTGGTTGTTGTACAGGGGCAATGAGGGCATGCTGGGACTTGTAGTTCCCTAGCTGATATCTTATGAAGCTGTATTCCACCTGAAAGTACTACAATTACATTATAGAACTAAGAATAGAACATAAAATAAAACTTTTTTTTTTCTAATACTCACCTGATTCCTGGATCCACCGACAAGCGCAGCCTCCCGTCTCCCATGCTGTTAGAAGTTGCATACAGCGCGTGTGCTGGTTACTACTGAAACTGGCACGCACAGCGTGCAGCTTCTGAGAAGATACACTATTAGCATAGCGGGGAAGGCGGCTGCGCATTTTGCATCGCTCCAGCTACGCTAATAGCGTTATCTTCTCAGAAGCTGCACACTGCGTGCGTCGGTTTAGGTAGTAAGCAGCACACACTGTATGCAACTTCTAACAGCGTGGGAGACGGGAGGCCGCGCTTGTTGGTGGATCCAGAAATCAGGTGAGTAGTATCAAACAAAAAAAAAGGTTTTATTTTATGTTCCCGGGGACATTTAAAAATCTACAGACCTTATAGGCAGCCCATTGACCACCCTTTGTTCTGTATTTTTGTTTGTTTGTACAAGCATTTCTATGTCTTTTTGCACATTTTAGGCTTGAAGTTTTTTATTATTAATTTTAACCAAAGAAAAGCTAGTTAGTAGGTAAGTAAATAAAAATTAAAAATTGTACACTAAATAAAAAAGTAGGGAGACAACCTGGAAGGATCACCTCCAATATCCGCCAGAACCTTTTAAATAGTTGAGACTAGACATGTGCACTGCCAAAAAATTTGTTTCGTTTTAAATTTGGATTTGTGTTATTTCGTTTTTCGGGATTCGGGTGTGAAAGTCAATTCGGATTCGGAATTCGGATTCGGACAAAATTCGGTAGCGGTAGTTCGAACGTTCGTTTCATTTTCTGTTCTTATTCGTTTCTTATTCTTTTTTTTATTCGTTTCTTATTCGTTTCTTATTCGTTTCGTTCGTTCGTTTGCAGCAAAGTGACATGTGAGGGGGAAAAAATATTTTTCTCCTCTAATGTCACTTTGCTCCAACAAACGAAACGAATAAGAAACTAATAAGAAACGAATAAGAACAGAAAACGAAACGAACGTTCGAACTACCGCTACCGAATTTCGGAAATGGAAATTCGGATTCGTTTGCATTCGCTATGTCTGTAATTCGGAATTCGGATACATCCGAATGTCCGAATTTCTGAAAATTCGTCCGAATTTCGATTCGGAACGAAACGAATCGCACATGTCTAGTTGAGACTACATTATCATGATTCATTAGGTTATTTCATACATAAATTCCCTTTGTAGGTCGTACTTCCTACAGTATGATTGACACTATTTAATTGACAAAAACTCGTGGTCTATATTAGTTGATCTGCAGTGTTGCAGGGGCCCAGAAAGGTTTTTTCTTGATGGATGCTTTGGGCCACCTATTTAAGTCCAGTTAGACCTGGTGTGGTCAATTTGAATATTTCCAAACAAATTATGCTTGTATGTGGTACGATCGTGAGTTATCCCGCCAGTTTATAGCGTCAACCATTAACATGATTAGTGCATTTCCATAGCTTTGAAATAAGCTCTTCATAAACTCCATTCTTTTCCAACTAGGTAAGTAAATGTGTAAAAAAAATTACATTACATGCTTTTTTAAATGCCCCCATTGTGGCCAGAACATGTGACAGCCCCAAAAGAAGCTCATGTACTTTTTCGCAATACAGATGTTTTGCTACAAGTGACTGAACCCTCAGATGTGAACACAACTGAACACAATGGGCTGCCTCATGTTGAGTGTTGTAGCGTTTAGGCACTGGAGCAACCAAATGCTCAGATGTGAAGGGGCCTTAGGATTTATTCACACTGCAAAAATATGTTATGTCTTACGGACTGATTCCATACACTTTTTTCACTTACTTCACTCTGAAATCATCCGCAGCCAGCCGAGCATTGTCACTTTGCACAGTGAGATGATTATTAGCCAAAGTAGCAGAAAAGATCTGTAAGGATATAAGGGAAATCAAAATAGAATGAGCTTACAACTTCTAGGCACCTGGATTTCAGTGTATAAAACTGGACTATAAATAGCTGTATTCAATATTATTTTCTATCTTCTTTTGAGTCTTGAATAACGTGGGTATTTGTTAGAACCTCTGTCAGATTTGTATTGCGTCTCACCATTGGGGAGATTTTGTCACACTTCCTGTCACAGAGAGAGAACAAGAAGCAAAGGGAAATCTCCCTAAAGAGAGAAGGGAGTCTACTTTTAACAACTGTCGCCACAACAGGTGTCGGGGTTGGAATATCGGACCTGTAATTTGTAATAAGGTTAGGCTTTCCCCCACTTTCTGACCAGGATTTGGTGACTAGGACAAGGAATCACCCAGAACATGCTGGTATTAATTTAAAGAGCTTAGGATGGTTATAGAAGTGGTGTATTTTCTGTTCAGCTCCATGGGCTTAACAAAAAAACCACTTGATTTGCCCATCTGTGCTAAACAGTGTGAATGGAGGAATCTCCCCTGCAGACTATTGTGTACCGACAGCCAGTGCCCAAACAGTGACTGCAGCTGGCATTTGGTCACTGTTTGGAAAACAATTTTGGGCATGGCCCCTTTGACAAAGTCAATTGAAAAATCACCATTTGCTGAACTGAGTGATGCCAGCAGGGCCACGCAGTGCTGATTCAATACAGATTTGAACAGTATAAAAATAGCAAATGGCGAGATACCTGCTCTCATTGCATCCAGCATAGTGTTCCACAGTGTAGACATCACACACTCATGGCCAGCGAGGTACGGGTCTATGCATGGGCTTCCCATAGACCAACACCTTGATGGACATGGCTGTGCCGTGTCTACACTGTGGATCTATGAGAAACGCCCAACTGGATTATAAAATTATTACCTGCGAGGATAAGATGAATGTTATTCCAAATAAGACATTGATTGCTACATGCATTCGGAAATACTGAGTGCCACTTTACTAATTGTTTTTGGTTAATTGTTTTCAGCTTGTTACTTTGTAGACATTCAGGAATTCCCTCAGAGACTAAGACGGCATCCATATTTACCACACAGTCGCAGAGCCCCTGCAGAGGCCAGGCCCCAGGGTCACTGTGCTCCCCTCTTCCTTTTGACTGATCAGCATATGTTATCTTTAAACAAATTACATTTTTGTATAATTTTAAATTTACTGCTCTATTAAACAAAACAAGTCAACAGTGAGGACAAAATCTTGCTAGATCTTTATATGGGGGGATGTATGTAAAAATTAGGTTACTCTATAAAGTCGAAATCTAGCCAATTCTTTTTATTTTTTTTTACATTTTAGATCAAGTGGACAAAGGCTGGAACCTTGACTTCGGTTCTAGCCCTTTCTCATGCTGTGTAAGGTTAAAAAACTAATTTGGCTGTAGTTCCACTGTAAGTGGTCATTAAGTGTCTTTGGAAAAAAAAAAGCTTAACACAAGACTTCTAGCAATATTGTATTCTCATCATTGACTTTCTTTGATTAATACAGCAGTTCTATTACATAAACATGTTAATTTGTTAACATCTAACATATGCTGATTGGACAAAAGTGGGGGGTGCAGTGTCCTGGCCTTGGTAGGGGGTCTCATACTGTGAGGCAAATATGGATAATGGCAGAGTGGGGCCCTAGGCAAGGTTGCAGCATTGCCCCCATCACTTTTTTGACATTGATAGCTATTTCAGTGGGCACTGACAAGTCGCTCCATTTGCTTTGTCTGTACTGGCACTACCCCGTCAGATACCAAATATTGCAAATACACCCTTGTAAAGTGACAGGAAGATGGATATTGATGAGTCTGGGTTTGGTGCAAACCCAGTTTGCCTGTGTTCATCCAAGCCTGCTCAAAACTGTGACTGCCACCCCCTCTTCCTAGCCAATCAATTGCAGGGAGGCACATTCCCCGCCCTGCAACTATACATCACAAAGAGGCCGGGAATGCTCCTGCCGCAACTGCTACCATTAATGAGGCTGGGAGTGGTGGTCACAGCTTTGAGCAGGCTTGGGCTAACTCAGGTGACCTGGGTTCGCACCAAGCCCAGGCTCATCTCTACAGGTGGACAGCTTTGACTATTTTCACTACCCACTGTTTTTTTGCAGTAGACTGAAAGTTGTAGCAGGGCCCCTTAGACATTATCTGGGCCCTAGGTTCTTGCCTAGGTTTCCTTGTAGGTGATGTAGGTCTTGTGAGACAGTGCTACTGTGCATAAAGGATCCCTGACTGTAGAGATGAAAATTGTATCCCTATTTTTGCAATCAGCAGGTAGACAGAACATCATTGTAACTCTATGACCAGGCTCCCATGTGTACAGTAGGGCGCCGAATACCAGAAAGGTCGTCAAAGTGCAAACCGAGTTCCTCATAAGGTTAGTACTTATACTAACAACATTTATCAGGGGTATGATGATGACCTGTCTCTGCCTCCCCTGGAGAGATTTCTCCTCAGTTCCTATATGTAGACAAGTGGGAAGCCACCATTGGCAGTAATTGTCACCAGCTGTCACCATTAGAAGATTTTCCTAACTTCATGTTCCAGAGACAACTATAAACATTTTGCATTCGTCCTGATTTGCTTTGCCTGTGGCAATGGTTATAAGGACAAATACCGAGATTGCATATCCCCAGCGGGAACCCATGTATGCATTTGTGAATTTGCCACTAACTGATGCAGATGGATGCTGTGGTGAATTTGTGCAAATTGCACACAGTATGAGCCACTCCTTTATTTCTTAATGCACAGGAAACACTTCTTGCACCAGCTTAGGGTCATTACTTATTGGCTGTGAGTATATCATTACTCTTATTACATTATTGTGTTTTTAGGCATAGGAGGTGCCCGTAACAGTCCTGCGAAGCAATTGTGGATCTGCATAAGTATATACTTAACATTTTGCAATATATATTTAGGTCTCACTTTTTTTTTTTTTTCATTAAGATTCATATCTCCACCACTAATGTACAGCTTTCTTTTGTAATATACATCTAGCAACCCTAAAGAATTGTATTCCTGTTTGATGACAATAGTGTTCGCTCAGTAAAAATATGTTTCTCATATACACATGTATTTAGTATAAGACAATAGTGTATGCTGGTAGACTTACCTTATCCTTCAGTGCTTCAATGATGCTGTAATATTTGGTGTAATCAACGTTTGGAAGTTTGTGGGTGTCATACCAGTTTGTTATCTTAATCTCAAGTTCTGCATTAGAGTCTTCTAGAGCATGCACTGTGTCCATATAGGTGGCCAAGCGGGAGTTAAGATTCTGCATGGTTTCCTTTTCTCCAGCTTGAAGAATACCGTCTCCTCCCCCATATGAGAAAGCACCCAAGGAACCGTTGCTGAAGCCTCCTCTTTGCCCCCCAACTGAAATTCCTCCAGGCATTCCACCAAAGCCCCCGGTGTTAGAAACACCACCAAAGCCTTGATGGTTAGCTGAGCCTCTGCTAGAAAAGCCACCTGCTGACCTGCTGCTAAAACCACTACTGAAACCTCCAGCTGTGTTTCCACTTGAACATCCACTAAAACCTTCACTTTGTCCCCCATTCTGTCCACCAGAATACCCACCTCCTAATCCAGTAGATCCACTTGAGCTACCCACATGGTCTACACTTTGGTCATCTCTAAAACTGACATTATGTCCTCTGGAGCTGTTTCCAGATCCTTCACTTTGCCCTCTGCTGGAAGAACCACAATATTGACCAGAGCTGCCTCCATAGCCTCCACTTTGTCCAGCTTTAGAGCCACCTGTATATCCACCAGAGCTGCCACCCTGACCTCCACCCTGCACTTCCCTGGAAACACCAGTTTGTCCACTGGAACAGCTGTCAAAGCTTCCACTAGAGGCCCCTGTATATCCAGCAGAGCTGCCATTCTGGCTTCCACTTTGTCCTCCCCTAGACACAGGATCATATCTCCTAGAACCACTGTCATAGTCTCCACTTTGTCCTCTACTAGAGCCACCTCTATTTCTATCAGAGCTGCCATCCAGGCTTCCACTTTGTCCTCCCGTGGACAGTGGACTACATCTCCTAGAACCACTGTCATAGTCTCCACTTTGTCCTCTACTAGAGCCACCTCTATTTCTATCAGAGCTGCCATCCTGGCTTCCACTTTGTCCTCCCCTGGACAGAGGGCTATATCTCCTAGAACCACTGTCATAGTATTCACTTTGTCCTCCACTAGAGCCACCTCTATTTCTATCAGAGCTGCCATCCTGGCTTCCACTTTGTCCTCCTGTGGACAGTGGACCACATCTCCTAGAACCACTGTCATAGTCTCCACTTTGTCCTCCACTGAAGCCACCTCTATTTCTATCAGAGCTGCCATCCTGGCTTCCACTTTGTCCTCCCCTGGACAGAGGGCTATATCTCCTAGAACCACTGTCATAGTCTTCACTTTGTCCTCCACTAGAGACACCTCTTTTTTTATCAGAGCTGCCATCCTGGCATCCACTTTGTCCTCCCCTAGACACAGGATCATATCTCCTAGAACCACTGTCATAGTCTTCACTTTGTCCTCCACTAGAGCCACCTCTATTTTTATCAGAGCTGCCATCCTGGCTTCCACTTTGTTCTCCCCTGGACACAGGGCTATATCTCCTAGAACCACTGTCATAGTCTCCACTTTGTCCTCCACTAGAGACACCTGTACATCCACCCGAGCTGCCACTTTGACTGCCAATTTGCCCCACCCTGGAAACACCACCATATCTACTGGCAATGCTATCATAGCCTACATTAGAACTTGAGTGAACACTAGAATTACCACCAGCAGAGACACCACTAGAAACTCCTCTCTGATTTCCAAAAGAGTGAGCAGGTTTCTCACTGCAGTTTCCACCAGAACCTTCTCTATCACTCAATTCCCCAGCAATGTAATCATCATTGTAGCCACCAGCAGATGTATTCTGAGGATTTCTATCTTCACAGCTTTCACTGTGTCCTAAGGACCTGTTTGCTGAATTCCAATTGGATTCCTGGTTGCTAGAACTTCTGTAAGACATTTTCTTCACGGGAGAAATGTAGACTTCTTAGAGAAGCAATGATTGTCAAAGCACACAGCAAAACTGAAGTGACTTTCCATCATTTTATACCAAAGTGGGTGTTACGTGGCAAGATTCCATGTAAGTTTAAATGTTACAATGTTCGCCAACCTAGAATCTCTATGTACTTATTATTTATTTATAATGGTTAATAACTATTTTCAAGACTATTTCTTCAATATCGGGTAGTAGTTGTTTAAGGCTGGATCGCATTTCAAAACTGAGACAGGTGGAGTTACGTTTGAGGTTTATTGCTATAATTTAGCAGTTTATTTAATGTTTTTACTATATATTTTTATGATCATACTGGAGCAACACAGTATTAAAATATCTGTCGTCTGACAAAAGAAAAGAATAAACCTTTTGGCATAGGAGCACACTGCATTCTTTCTCGTCTTTTGCATGACTCAGAATAATCTTGGAGCAATAAAAAGTCATCACACTATAAAACCACTGAAAATTAGAGGTACCGTTTTGGTAAAGGTAAAAATACATTTGATGGAGCCAGCACTAGTTCCTCTGTAATGAGCACGTGTTATGTTATTAAAGAGGGATCTCCTAAAAGCAAAATTTTTATGTTGACACTAAAAACAAATTGTGTAATTGATATAGCTGGTAATTTCCTTTACCCATTTTAGAATCTATAGCATTCAGGCTGTAGCTGTCATGAAACTGTGATAATGATCTGTGTTAAGATGAACGTGCAACTCCTCAGCCAGGCAATGCAACTACAGGTTTTGAAATTGCCAAACAGTCTTCTATTCATTAGGCTCTGTTCACGTCTTTGCGATGGTGAAGCACAAGCGATGGCACACATGATCCGGCACCACATGAAACTATGTTAGGTGTGCTGCGGTGCCATTATTTCTTAATAGCACCCCAACCGTTGCACCACAATGATTGGCAACCTATTTCCATGCGACATGGAGCAATATGATTTAATAAAAAGGTGCCTGCACATTTTTTATGAGCTAACCTACCACAGAATGGGCTGACCTCAATGTACCCTATAGCACAGAGGTGTGAACGGGGGCTTAGTCCTCATTGTGGTATTGCTGACCCTGGGGTTTGAAGAAAATCAATTCTTTTTACTGCTTCCTGCGGTCCCAAAGGGAATATTCTAGTGACCATGTTTTAACCTGTACAGGAAGTAAAGAAAAGAGACAAAGGCAGAAATATAAATGGTCTTTTTTAAGTAGCATAGGGGGAAGGCTAGAAGCCCCATCTGCTTTTTAATCTCTTTCAGACCCAGTCAGTCTGTCACTATGGAGACACGGGAAGTACGGGGATATCTACTGAATGTAACCACAGACGGCCATCAAACACCTGACAGATCATCCTAACTCTTCCTCACAATGTCCAAGAGTACAAGAAAAAACATCTGACTGGAGGTACACTTTGAAATATTCAACTTTACTAGTACTCTCTGGTTTGGCCATTATCTCATGTTCCCCAAAATGAGCTAAATGTACTGTCAGCACCTCTTAAACAATTGCCATGTTAGTATTTGTTTTAAAAAAAAAATCTAATGCCCCTTTTATGATCCTAAATCCATGGTCAATTGATGCAATGGATCCCAAGTCTTCTTCCTACAGCACAGTGGGAGAGTCCTTTGGGGATCCCAGCCAATGAAGAACCATAGTTTCCCATAACTCTGGTTTATATTCCTACATAGTGAGGTAGATTACTTTATCTCTTAATGGTTGGTGACAGTGTGGTAAAAAAGCTATTAAGAGTTTTTGTAGGGATACCATTTTAAATGCAAGCCATTTTTATTGTATGGTCCCTATGACCATGGAACTTTGTGGCCACACTAGTTTGTATATCTCAGAAAGTTAAAAAGGATTCAAACAGTGGGTAAATGTTAATTTCCTAGACTATTTCTTCCTTCCATATGACTGTAAAAAAGTTGATAAAGCAAGAGACAAATGCTCCAGCCCCACCCCATATTTGTGTAATGACCTTGCCCTAAGTGGGGTGACTACTTAAATTTAGTTTGCTAAGACTGCAGTCAATCCGGCTGATTGTATAGATTATGCTCATTTGGTTTCGCCTAAGGATTCTACTATTGATTGCATCTGCCTGCTGCTGGATGTAGCCTTGCCACAGAGCAGAACAACCAATAGTGGAAAGCTATGGATATCTTTGTCTCTCCAGCCAATCACTAGGAGTTTCATGGCCAGTGGTACATGCTGGGAGAGCACATAAATATGTGAGACTCACTTTGTTACATGTGTGCTGTCTGACCAGAACCTGAAGCCTGCAGGTGATGGACTCAGTTGGGGTCCAGAACTATTCCTGTGATGGAGAGCCAGGGAGGAACTTTTGTCTGCTTGAGGTACCTGAGAGAGCAGAATGGGCTTGGACCTCAGAGAAAAGTCTGGTGTCTCATCTATCTCAAAATGTCTGCCAGCTATGGTACTCTAACACAGTGTTATCACAATTCTGGTTCAAAAAACCTCTACATTTTTAAGCTGTAGAGCATTTGGTGAGTCTGGAGTACTGTATTCCAGAGATGTCTACAGTCCTATACCCTCTCTACCTGTTTTGCTGTTTGTTCTAATAAAGCCTATTTCACTCCATACATCCCTCCTTCTGGCTAAGGATCCATCCTGGAAGTGAAATGTCAGCCACTCCTGTGCCTAGAATCTAAGGGGGGCTGCTACATTGGCTTTATATATAGAAAGGTATAGACCCAGTGAAATCCCAAATTAGATTACAGCAAGAACCACAATGTCAACATCTAACTCATTGTGACTTCATGTGACTATTGACATCACACATCTCAAAGCATGTCTGCACCATTACGACCTCAGTAACCAATGTGTTGTGTTAATGTAAAAAGGTTTGAATAATGATGACATGAGGCACTCTCAGTAATGAAGATTCTTTAGCATGTTTCTAGGTATCTGGTGTTTAGAATTTTTGACATTGTAATTTTGTTCAGACTATTCTGGGATACGATAATAGTTCTAATAAACTGAAAACATTAACGGTGCTCTAAAATTAACTTTATTGTTAACAAAATAAGCACCTATAAAAGCTAGCACCTTAGTCACAAGAAGACATCTCAGTTAAATACTGGATAATGACTGAGGGTAGAAGTTTCTTACCGGTAACTCTAAATGTATGTTATAATGTATATCCTTACTGCAGGTAGGATGGATCAGCTATAGGTTTACCCCATAATTTTTGTCCTGGACCACTACTGGGTAAATCCTCTATAGACAATGTTTTAGGTACACTTGTTGAATATGCTGTTAAGAGAACTTAAGACTGTGGCAAATAAACAATTTCTACCAAGATGATATATTATACTAAGGTCTTGTTCACGTGGACTTCTGCTTCTA